CTGAGCCCCAGGAGTCTGCAGCCCCCCGCAGCCCTGAGAGACAGGAGGTCAACGAGGTGAGTCTGGATGACGGGGAGGGATGCCAGGCCGGTGGGCTCCTTGGTCTGGGAGTCAGGCCCTCCTCATGCCGTGTCTCCCCTACAGCTCCTGCGTGCCCCCACAGAGCCCCCTGCGGCCCAAGGCCCCGCCAAAGGCCCTTCCAGCACAAAGAGAGCAGGTGAGGGTCCCAGCAAGGGGAGCCGCGAGCATCTGCCTTCCCTCTCCCTGGCCTCTCTTTCCCTGCCTGGGAAATGGGCTCTGGTGCCTAGACAGCTGCAGCCTCCTCAGGTCCAGGCAGTCCCTGACACTCCTCCCACTGCCCCTGAGGTGTCCCCCCCCCCTCCCACCCATGGCCAGAGGCCTCCCTGCAGCCTTGAAAGGCAACGGGCCTCGGGCACATTCTTTTCCCCAATAAGGGAGTGCGCCCATCTCCCAGCTGCAGCGTGGGCAGTGCTGGCCAGAGGGGGTGTCCTCCATCCCCATCTGCAGGGAGGATCTGGGCACCCTTCCTCCCACCCAAGCCTGGCCCCAGCCCCCAGGAGTGTCCAAGTCATCCTGGGGTCAGGGCAGGAACGGGGGGTGGTGAGGGGGGCTGTAAGAGAGAGGCAACTGAGTGGGGAGGCCAGGAGCTGTGGGAGGTGCAGGGGGGGGTTGGGAGGCTGCAGACGTGTACAGGAGAGGACTGTGAGAGGTGGACCCCCATCCACTCTCCTTTCTCTTCCCCCACGTGCTGCTACTGCCTCCTGATACCATCAAACCCAGGTGAACCCCACCCCTGCCAACGCTCCGTGCTCAGCCCCCGCCAGCCAGCCCAGAACCGAGGTACTGCCTGTTCCACTACCCCAGGCTCTGGGCAGTCCCTGTGCCACCCAGCCACTGACAGCCCTCCTGCCCCTTCCAGAGCCCACCCCTCTCGCCAGTGGACCTCCCTCATTCCAGCGGGCCGGCTCCGTGCGGGACCGCATGCGCAAGTTCACGTCTGATTCTCCAATGGCTCAGGATGGCCCACCTCGGGCACCCCTAGGTCCCTCGACCCCCGCAAGGCTCCCGGGCTCCTCCCACGTCAGCACCACCCCTGCCTCCTCCTCCTCCAGCCGCTCCTCCACCCGGGGCTCCAGTGATACCTCCTCCCGGTTCAGCAAAGAGCAGCGAGGAACAGCCCAGCCCCTGGCCCAGCTTCAGAGCTGCCCCCGGGAGGAGGGCCCCAGAGGGCGGGGCTTGGCTGCCAGGCCCCTTGAAAATGGAGCAGGGGGGGCCGGGGCCTGCTCAGAGGAGCCCGGTGCCCTGCTGCCCGTGGCTGTCGGCACTGCCGAGCCAGGGGCCAACATGAAGACGACATTCACCATTGAGATCAAGGATGGCCGTGGCCAGGCCCCCACAGGCCGGGTGCTGCTGCCCACAGGCAGCCAGCGGGCAGGTAGGCCTCCCCGCGGCTGGAGACGAGTGCCTGCAGCTGCCCTTGGACAGGTGCTGCGGCCACGGCTCAGGGTGTCTCCAGAGGGGGTTCTGGGAGCGAGGGGGACGTCATCCACCGGGGCTGCCGCTGTCCTCACCCCCCCCCCCCCCCCCCCCCCCCCCCCCCCCCGGCCCCCATTTTTTCTGCGGGCGCCCCCCACCCTTCTCAGCACCAGCAGTGGGGGCAAGAGTACTATCACCCACATCAGCGGCCCTGGGACACCGGCCCGGCTGGGCGCTGTCACTCACGTCACCAGCTTCAGCCATGCCTCTCCCGGTGGGCAAGGAGGCCGCAGCATTAAGGTGAGCCCTTCCTCACCCCTCCACCATCACCAGCCACCTCACAGACTGCTTCCGGGTCCAGGGCTGGAGGGTTCCTCTATCCGCTCCTCTCCCACGGTGCACGTGGGAAACTGAGGCCCAGAGAGAGAAGGCGGCTGCCCACAGGCCACAGCCAACTGGTGGCACAGCTAAGGCCAGACCCTAGCCTCTCACCCACTAGATGTCTCAGAAACCTACTCTGTTTGCCTTAAGCTTCCCACCTGCTGATCTCTCATCCTTCCTGCAAAGCTGGTTGGTTCGTTCCTAATGAACAAACGGGAAAACTGAGGGGCAGGGAGCGTGGCACAGGCGTGCCCCTCTTCCTGTGGCGGCTCCTTCCCCACACTGGACCTCAGCTCTGAGGTTCAGAGCTGCTCATCTGCTCATCCAAGATCAGCCTGGCCCCGTAGAAGATTGGAGATTAGCGATTAGCATCTGCGTCAACATTTCAGGGGGAGGGGGTGCTGGGCAGAAGCATTGAAGGGGGACAGATAGGGGGAGGGGGGGGGGAGTCAGGTGAGGCAGCAACCTAGCAGGTGCCACGGGAATTGAATCCCTTGCACCCTTCCATTATTCATCCCCGAGCCCGGGATCAGCTGGCTGGGGGCTCAGCTGGGGAGGGAATCCCCAGCAGGCCACTCGGCTGCCCAGGTAATACCCTCCATGCTGCACCGGGGACTGAATGGGACTTGGGCGGAGGTGAGGTGGCTAAAGCCAGCTTTGGGCCTTCTCAGGGGTGACAGGGAGGGGGTGGGGGCGAGAAGGCAGCCTTCCCCCATAGAGCAGGGAGCGAGGAGGGGAGGGGAGGGGATGGCTGAGGCCCTTGGGGTGGGTGGGAAGTGTCACAGTGAGCCCTGGGTCTGATACCACCACCTCGCCTTGGTTTCCCTGTCTAGAACCAAAGGAACGCAGATAACGCGCCTATAGTGTACTTGCTCAGAGTCTGTGGTGGGTCCAAGTGCCTATCTCAGGGAGAAGGCACCTGCTACAGCAGGTTGCTCAACATCCTGCCTCTATTTCCCGCATCTGTTCAAGGCTTTCTGAAACAGCATGGCATGAGGGCAGAGGGGTGCGAGCTCTGGAGTCCAGCAGACTGGATCCTCGCAGCTAACGCACATGGAGGCCCGGGCAGGCCCCTCCCTTGCTCCTTGCCTCAGCTGTCCCACCCGTGGGGCCGGGGACCCTGGCCTCGGGCATCCTTCCCAACCCGTGCACACTTGCTGGGCTTCGGGTGTGATTCCTGCAGGGCCAGGGCCAGGCCTAGCGGTCCAAGTGCTTAGGCAGGCCACCCCTCCCCCAGGCCCCCTCCACGGGCAGCTCAGAATAGGTTTCTATTTGGGCTGCAGCCCCAGCTGGCGGGTGGAGGGCTGGGAGGCCAGCAGGGGCGGGGCAGGCCCACTGCCCTTGCCTTCGCCCTCAGACCAGCTGCAAAGACTCTGACATACCAGCCAGAGGCAGCAGTCCCGGCCACTGTCCCCATCGTCACCCCACCATAGAGCCCCCGCCAGCACCATGCCGGGGGTCCCGGGGCCTGCGTCTGAGCTGACCGCAGCCCTGGAGGAACGACTGAGCCGGG